TAATTTTTAAGAAGAAATAAAAGGAAACAGAGCTCACAGCACCTGTCCTGCTCTAGCCAATGCACATCCACATGGGTCTCTGCATCATCAGCAAGAGGAGATGATTCTGTGCGGAGGACTGGCTATCCTCTGTGTTACATACAGCTGTGAAGCCCTTTATCTGCTGATGGACCCCATTGTTGCTGGCTGGTGATCGGCTCTCATGTAAGCAAGCAATTTCAAAAAAATAAAAAAATAAAGAGAGTGTGCGACGTGCAGAGTTTACAGGCAGGAGCCAGCTGGAGGCTGCAGCACATGAAAGATGCATGGCAGCAAACAAAGCCATGCGTTAACCCAGCCCAGCAGGGAGGGCGCAGCCAGAGGAAGCCTCGAAGGTGGATCTAGTTCAAATGGTGCCAGAGAACCTCCTAGTGGGGGAGGGTGCCCGCTCTACTAGTGCCTGAAGTCCCACCAAAGTTGCAAGAATCAGGAAGTGCTGGCAGCAGAGCCACAGACAACAGGGACAACTGAGCTGCTGGGGTGCTGGTCAGCCAGGGCAGCCACACACTCAGGGACATGGAGACACGAGGGTGTCACTGCATAACATCCCACAGTGAGCCCAGGCTGTATTCTGTGGGGCACCCAGGACAAGTTGCCCTCCTGACACATATATACCTGGCCCTCAGGCAGCACAGCTATTGGGTGATGTGGGCTTGTGAGAACCCCTTGCTCTGGGCCTGTAGGAGTTAACAGGGGTCTCCTGTTGTCTGGGAAGTTCTGCATGGCCTGCGGGACACCTAACCCCACGCTGCGTTTGCCAGGATGGGTGCCATTACTGCTGAGACCTGTCTGCTGATCTTGGCAGCAACATGAGGGTTGGTGTCCAGCCCAGAGGGGTCTCCTCATGTGCTAGTTGGATGAAAGGAAGGAACGGCTGGGAGAGGCTGAGGCCACAGTTCCCACAGCAGGCTGGCTCCAGGGAGTTCTCCGTGATGTCCTCCCTGAACCTCCTCGTTCGCTGTACGCTCACCGTCACCACGCGGCACACTTCCGCTCAGTAGGCACTTCTCTCTTTGGTAACTGCTACCTGCACGGACATCATGCCTATCATCCAGGTGCACGGGCCTGCTTCAAGACCTGTCCTCAGGACAAGCCAGGGAAACACCTGCCCCAGACTGAACCTGCAGTGGAGAAAGGTGCTACATGTGACATCATGAGGTCAGTACACAAGGGGAACACCACAGCGTGGGAGAGGTTGGATAAGATGCTGGTCCTGTGCTACGGTTGCTGCACTGTGGGTGTTTTGGGTGAAGGGCCATGGCGCACGCGCAGAGGAATCCTGTGTGTGGAGAAAGAACAGTGGGTATTAACAGTAAGTGATCTGGGTGAGGGGTGTGTAGGTGTTCTTTGTACTATTATTTTTGCAACTTTCCTATAAATTTATTACCAATTAAAAGTAAAAAACAAACAAACCACTTGAAAAAAATCATCTCAGCCTTCCTAACTTATGAACATTAAAGAGTCAGTCCTTACCAGTTTGGGCTGCACTAACTGGGAACTTATAGTGTATCAGACAGGAACTGGAAGGGTTTTGCTTGGCAAATCTCTGTTTCAGAGACAGTATCAACAATTTTCAGCAGCAGGTTCACAATCCGTGTAGGAACTGAGCAGACTGCAGCCTCCTGCAGCATGAGGCCACCCTACACCGACAGTCCACGGGTATCGTAGCTTCCTCCTTTTCTTATTAGTAACCATGGTCCCCAACGAGGCCAGTGCTAGTTCCTGTTTCCGCTGCAACATGCCACTGAAATGGACTAAAATGAGTTTCTTCAGGATGGCCGGGGCCTCAGTTTGCATGCCTTCAGGCCTAACCCTGCCCGTGGCTCATCCTGCACGCTGCAGTGCTGATGGGCTGGTACAGACACAGAAGCGCAGCTGTGATCTGCTGGGAGCTGAGGCCACATCTCACAGAGCGGGAGGCCCAGATGGAAAGTTCCATGTAGGCAACTGCCTGAGCACTGCTTCATTCATACTCTACAAAGTCTTGGGGGGAGAGGACTTTGAGTCTCCACTTTTAAAGGCTAAAGATAGATTGACAAATGCCATCAAACACAGGAGGGAGGTGTCACTCTACCCATGAGTGAGACCCCAAAGCCCGTTTCTGATCTGCGGCCCTTGAAGGTAACAACCTCGAGAGCAAGTGTCCTACTGCACTGAAGGTGGGGTCAAGCAAACAGTGCCATGGCGGGGCCACCTTCAAGAAAGGCATAGGGAGAAAGAGGCAGGGCCCTGCAGCCGGGACTTAACCAGGGGTCCCTCCTGTGGCCCTGGTTACCCCAGAGGTGGCCTTTGCCGAGCACAGCCTCACTGGTCACAAGACTAAACACTAGGTCCAGGGCCAAACCCCTGTGTGGGACAACAGGCCCTCTGGTGTGTCTTCCCATGGAGGGGCCCTGAGACTCCATGCGGCCATCAGGGCAGCTACAGTCTGGACTGTCTGTCCTCCGATCCCTTCACTGAGTTGAAAATGTTCTAGAACACACCCTCATGAGTGCCAAATCCCCTTATGTTCACATTTAGACAGCTGGGGTGTATCTGTACGGAACTCACCATGCAGGGAGGACCAGACCCAGCTCCCTTATGCCCCCTCCTATCTCCATGGCCCCTCAGAGCCCTAGCCAGTGGCACCCATTCCCCTGGAGCCCCCAACCTGTGGAATGTTTGCTTCCTTCTCCCTGGTTGTCAAGCGCTCTGGGCCAGGGCTGCGGCTTTTTCTATTTTAAGCAAGTTTCTGTGCACAACTCTCTGTAGATGGAAACAATCAAAGACGGGAGAGGAGCTGTCAGATGGCCGGCTGCCTGCCACCACAGGTGCGAGTTACTTAAATTGTATCATCATTTAGGAGGGAGATGCTTCCCCCCTACCCTTTCTCTCTGGCAGCATCCCTGCGACTTCCAGTAGAACAGGTGCACATGGAGGCCGAGCCATCAGGCGATTGGCACCTGGCGGAGGCAGTAGTCATGGATCCTGCTGCTTGTGTCACTAGCATCTGATGGATCCACAAATCCACACTGTTCCTCTCTGTTGGGGACCTCCTGATGAGCAGTGTCCCTGGAGCCCACAGCCTGGCCTGAATTCTCCGCTGGCCATTCCTGACCTGGCACACAGGCTAAGCATCCATGGGGGAGGCAGTCATCAAATGCAGGGAGGGCTGGTGACCAGGGGATAAGCGGGAGTCCACGAGGAGGCGGCGGTATTGGGAGGCAGTGCAGGGCACAGGCTGAGAGCCAGAAAAGGACCCCATGGTATGGGTGTGGCTGACGCCTTGGACCAGCAGGGCAGAGGCAAGAGCCCTGGCAGAGGGTGGTCAGGGAGTGACAGCAATGGCTCGGACCCTCAGGGTGGTAGTGGAGGGGCAAGACTGTGTCTAGATGTTAGCACATCTGGGAACAGAGGCTGAGAGAGTGAGAACCTGGCGAGGGCCCAGGTAAGAGGTGTTCTTGGGTAAACAGAATGCCTACTTTTTGACATCATTCTAAGATTTCCATAAATTATACTTTAAAGCATCCAAATTCCACCTATTTGCACCCACAAAAACATTCAACAACAATCTCCTCAGTCCTCCCATTTCAGATGTGGAAACTGGGGCCAATAGAGCATGGCCTGCACCCAGCCCCTCCTGGCACATGAGGTGCAGAGGGGGATTGACCAGCCCAGCAGTGCTCATGAAGAAGGATAAGCTGCAATAAGGACTCACTACTGTCATCTTTTGAAACCTCTGAGAAACAGAAATCAATCATAGGTGATGTCTAGTATGGATATCAGCTGTAGAGAAAATCATTTCCTTTCTTCTTTTTTTTTGGGGGGGAGGGGTTAATCCTCACCTGAGGATATTTTTCCATTGATTTTTTTAGAGAGAGTGGGAGGGAGGGGGAGAGACACACAGAGAGAAACAATGATGTGAGACACATCAATTGTTTGCCTCATGCACGTGCCCCAACTGGTGCTGGGGATCGAGCCTACAACCGAGGTAACGTGCAGTAACCAGAATCAAACCTGTGACCCTTCAGTCCGAGGGCCAAAGCTCTATCCACTGAGCCAGCCGTGGGCAAACTACGGCCCGCGGGCCAGATCCGGTCCGTTTGAAATGAATAAAACTAAAAAAAAAAAAAAAGACCGTACCCTTTTATGTAATGATGTTTACTTTGAATTTATATTAGTTCACACAAACACTCCATCCATGCTTCTGTTCCGGCCCTCTGGTCCAGTTTAAGAACCCATTGTGGCCCTCGAGTCAAAAAGTTTGCCCACCCCTGCACTGAGCCAAACTAGCCAGGATGAACATCATTTCCCTTGAAATAAACATTCCACTTCCCACTAATCCTAAACTTTTCTGTGACTCCCCTTCACTTATGACTAGCACATCTGTAGCTATTAAAATCTTCACTGAAATAAGACAATGGACAGTTTCTGCTTCACTCTTGTGAATTTTAGAATCACATAGAAACTAAGAGAGCACCACCAGTGACTTCAGTTGAAATGGGTAACCTTAGTTCAAAGGGTCCTGTGGACCTGCCCAAAGAGCCTTAGCGAGGCTCCTGGCATGGCCACACCTGCCCCGGAAGTGTGTGTTGGCGTCACTCTGAGTAGGCACCAGGGTCCTGCCAGCACAGAATTTTTAACCAGATCCCACCTGCAGTGACTTCTGTTTTAACTTGAGTTGTCCTTAGCCAATGCGGTCATGACCCACCTCAAAGTAACACCAGTGCATGGAGCCCAGGGAGAAGCCAGGCAGAGCACTGGAGATTGGGGCACAGCTGGGCCTTGGTTGCCCTCTCACACTGTTCACAGTGGCACCCTTGGTAAATACCAGCCAGCATCCCCACCATCCAGGAGGGCCAACCCCAAGCAGTGGGGATTCCACCTCCAGAGCACAGAGACCCAAACCTCTGTGACTGGCCTGCTGGGTGGTCATGACCGTGCAACGCTCATGTGCCACCACAGAAGACAGAGTGGCTCACCCTGGTGTCCTTCTCGTTTCCTTCCGCGTGGAGGATGTAGGGGCAGCCCTCCTTCTGTGGGTTTTCTGAGACAATTCGTACCTCAACGCCTGGCAGCGGGGTCCCCACAGAACCTGCAATGAGAGGAGAAATATGAGAGAAAGAAGATGGAGTCAGAGGGATTCCAAAGGAGAGGGCTATACACCTGTCGCTCTCAGATCCTGCCTGGACATCACTCACAGAGAAGACCTGGGAGCATGCAGCGGGCGCCCACCCTGCCGCAGCAGCAGCCAGTGCTCAGTGCTCACAGTTGCCAACAGTGTGCAAGGCGAGACTGAATGCTCCAGAGCAGCGGTCACCAACTGGTGGTCTGTGGACCACTGGTGGTCTGAGGTCTGAAAGGTTGGCGACCACTGCTCCAGAGCCTTCAGTTCATCCTAGGAAGGCCCCCTGCACCCCGGCGGGATGTAGGCACGGCTTCTACTTGTACCTGGCTGAGCAGTAAGGGCACTGAAGCGCACCTGTCCAGAAAAGATCCCAAGAGGCACTGATGCTGAAAGTTGGGCGTTGAGCAAGGATCCTCATGGCAGTGGGATAATATCTCTGGCATTCTGGTTTATTCTTAGGCACCCATGGTCTGATCAGTGTCTTCATCCCACTCAAAGGCCCCAGCATAGTGGGCCAGCTTACAATCAAACTTCAAACCTACAAAGGTAAGGCAGGTGGCTTGAATGTGTCCCACAGCTACTGTAATAAATGACTAAGGCATAACCAAGGTTCCAAGACCAAACTCCCAGCATCTATGCAAATTCACTTCAAGGTTTTAAAGCCTTTATTATAACCGCTGAAATCAATGAGGATTTCTCAGGGGATAAATGTCCCCAGAAGTGAGGTCAGCAAACTCTGCAATTTGATTCATGTCCCGGATCCAAACTCTTCACAAGGTTGGCTGTCAGTCTTCTGTAAAACAGCACCGTCCTATTCTCCTTGGCCTGTCTCCTGCACCTGAGCTTCAGGGGCGAGGCCTGGGCCCTATGGCTATGGTGAGCTCTCCATGTTCTGGAGGACTTTTTCCTCAACTCTGGTCAGTACTCTGTATCAGGTCCCAGCTGGAAGCAGACAGACCAGCATCCTCCCACCGCCCCGCTTTTTTTTTGGTTTCCAAATTAAAGTGAAATCCATATAAGATACAATTGATCATTATAGAGTGGCAATTCAGTGGCATTTAGCAATCATCATCACCATCTAGTTCCAGATATTGTCACCACCCCAGAAGAAGCCTATGTCCATCAGCAATCACTTCCCACCTCTAGCCCCTTACCCCCAGTAACCACTAATCCGCTTTCTGTCTCTATGAATTTGCCTGCTCTGGAAATCCTATATAATAAAGAGCTAATGTGCTAATTAGACCAGACGGCAGACCTTCTGGAACAACCAGTGGGTGGGGGGAGGGGCCACGGGGCCACGAGGGCCTCTAGTTTCATATAAAAGAAATCGTACGGCATGTGCCCTCCTATCTCTTCTTAGTTGTACATATACTTGGAGTCTGTGGTTATACAGGCATTAAGGACATTCAGGACTCAAGAGAGCCTAGTGTAGAGATAAGACATCGGGACCAGAGAAAAGGACTAGCTTGTGAATGTGGAGGTGGGACCAAGCCCAGCCCGCTCTGACGTCACAAGCTATGCTTCTCCTGCTGATGGCTCAGCCTGCCCCTGGGCGCAGTCAAGACCAGCTGCCATTCTGCACACTCTAAATTTGGTTTCCAGTTGACTCCAAGGTCATTATCTTTTCTAGATTAAATAATGCCTTTCTTTGTCAATCTCTCGTTTCAGTGACAAGTTTAACTCCTGTCATCTACACTGCTCCTCCCTGGACCTCATAGTTTGAAGAGGACTGACAGACACACCGGCAGAGTGACCAGAGCTCCCAGCAAGGGCCACAGCCCGGACTGCTGGGACACTCACCCGGGCCGGGGGTCCAAGGTCTCCAGATGCTCCTAGTCACTCGTGTTTCATGGTCAAACTTCAGTAGGCTGACCTTGGTTTTAGCCCTTAGTGACTAGAGTGTTGGTATAATTACAGTAAGTGTATGTGTAAAAGCCATAGAACAAAGGGCTCAAGGGAGAAATTGGGCAGATAATATGCAGAAGACAAAGGCCGCATGTGTGAGAGGCAGGGCTGAGGCCACGCAGGAGGACACTCAGGCCACACTGACCCCGTGCCCCCGGCACTGCCACAGGCCATATGGAGCTGACAATGCTCTCGAATCTGTATCAGTAAGATCTTTCTTGCTGCTTGAGCAAGGGTGATACAGTGCTGGGCAGGGTGATTAGCCCGAATACGAAGAAAACATCAGATACTGGAAAATGATTGATTGCCCTCTGAGACTGGTCAGATATGATTTCTACAAGTACCTGCCAGAGATAAAGAGTTCCATAAACACACCTTAAGGAGTCAGGCAGAATGTGGTTATTTCATCAGGAGGCATTTCGTCAACTTAAGTGCAGAATCTGAAGCAGGACCAACTGCCTCACTCAGAAATGAAAGCCTGCTTCTCACCCCCTTCCTTCCGAGCAGCCTGTCTGAGCAGCAGTGGACACTGGCTCAGCCTGAGTGCGCTCCGACAGCGACGCCTCCTCAGTTGTAAGCTGGGAGCTCATCTCCCCAGAAGGAAGGAAGCAGAGGCTCCATATAGTCCCTGAGACCAGAGAGAGGTGTGTGGCTGAGGGAGTCCTCCTGGGTCTGCCAGGACAGGGGAGGTGTGTGCCATCTCAGCCATGCCCGACCATCTGCAGTAGCTGTTGGGGGCACATGTGGAGAAGGTTAAGAGCTCAGTCCCATAACTGTTAGTGGGTCACTTCAGTGACTGCTAGTCATAAGTGGTGTTACCCACAGTGTCTGTCCAACTTGGCTACAAATCAGAGGTTTCCACAACCTCCTCCTGGGTTCAATCATTTGCTAGAGCGGCTCAGAGAACTCTGGAAAACAGTTTACTTACTAAAAGATCAGTTTGTTATAAAGCCTACAACCTCTGAATATCTAGATGGAAGAGATGCCTAGGGCAGGTATGGGGAAGGGGCGTGAGCTTCCCTGCTTTCCAGGTGCTTAGCATAATAATCCCCAGGTCTATCCATGCTGTCACAAAAGTTAAGAGATCTTCTTTCTGCCTCCGCAGCCGCCATAGCTCCGTGAAAAAGCTCGTGGCGAAGGGGGGCAAAAAAAAGAAGCAGGTTCTGAAGTTCACCCTTCACTGCACCCACCCCATAAAGGTGGAATCATGGACTCTGCCAACTTTGAGCAGTTTCTTCAGGAGAGAATCCAAGTGAATGGAAAAGCTGGGAATCTCGGCAGAGGGGTTGTAACCATTGAAAGAAGCAAGAGTAAGATCACTGTAACATCTGAGGTGCCTTTTTCCAAAAGATATTTGAAATATTGCACTAAAAAATATTTGAAGAAGAATAACCTACGTGACTGGTTGCACGTAGTTCCTAACAGCAAAGAGAGTTACGAATTGTTTTACTTCCAGATAAACCAGGATGAAGAAGAGGAGGAAGATGAGGGTTAAAGCTCATTTATCTGACAAATTTTGTATGAGTTCTTGAATAGAACTTGGGAACCAAAAAAAAAAAGAAAGAGATCTTGCTTTTTCATAGCCACACTAGAGGCCCGGTGCACAAAATTTGTGCATGGATTGGGTCCCTAGGCCTGGCTGGCAATCAGGGCTGATCGGGGCCTTCTGGCTGCCGGCTAGGGCCTCCCTTCCCTGGCTGCAGGCTGGGGCCTTACTTCATTCTGCACTGCCCGCTGGTGGTTAGCATGTCATAGCAAGCAATCAGTCTCCTGGTTGAACTCCCACAGGGACAATTTGCCTCTATTGATGGGTACTTGGGCTGTTTCCAGATCTTAGCTATTGTAAACAACACTGTTATGAACATAAGAGTGCATTTATTCTTTCTGATAAGTGTGTTTCAGGATTCCTAGAAGTGAGATGGCTGGGTCAAATGGCAGTTCCATTTTTAATTTTTTAAGAAAATAACCTACTGTTTTGCACAGTGGCTGCACTAGTCTGCATTCCCACCAGCAGTATACTAGGGTTCCCTTTTCTCTACATCCTCGCCACCACTTGTTGTTTGTTGATTTATTGATGGTAGCCATTCTGACCGGTGTGAGGTGATACCTCATTGTAGTTTTAATTTACATTTCTCTGATGATTAGTGATTCTGAGCATTTTAAAAAGATATATTTTTATTGATTTCAGAGAGGATGGGAGAGGGAGAGACATCAATGATAAGAGAGAATCATTGATCAGCTGCCTCCTGCATGCCCCACATTAGGGATCGAGCCTGCAACCCGGGCATAAGCTCTGACTGAGAATCGAACTGTGACCTCCTGGTTCATAAATCAATGCTCAACCACTGAGCCATGCTGGCCGGGCATTTTTTCATGTCTATTGTCCAGTTTGGAGAAGTGTCTATTCAGGTCCTCTGCCCATTTTTAATTTGGTTGTTTGTTTTCCTGGTGTTGAGTTGTATGAGTTCCTTATATATTTTGGAAATTAATCCCTTATCAGAGATATCACTGGCAAATATGTTCCTCTATACTATACATTGGGCTCCCTTTTCTATTTATTTTTGCTGTGCAGAAGCTTTTTAGTTTGAAATGTTTATTTTTCCCTTTGTTTCTCTTGCCCTAGGAGATGTATTGATGTATTGATGAAAATACTACTACGTGAGATGTCTGAGATTTTACTGCCTATATTTTCTTTTAAGATTTTTATGGTTTTGCGACTTACATTTAATTAAGTCTTTTATCCTTTTTGAGTTTATTCTTGTGCATGGTGTAAGTTGATAGTGTAGTTTCATTTTTTTGCATGTACCTGTCCAATTTTCCCAACACCATTTATAGAACATACTGTCTTTACTCCATTGTATGCTCTTGCCTCCTTTGTTAAATATTTATTGACCATAATGGTGTGAGTTGATTTCTGGGGTCTCTGTTCTGTTCCATTGGTCTACATGACTATTCTTGGAAAATTCCAGGCTGTTTTGATTACAATGGCTTTGTAGTATAGGTTGATATCTGGTATTACGATTCTTCCAACTTTGTTCTTCTTTCTCAAGATTGCTGAGGCT